AGTCTAGTCAGCCTGTCCTTTGGCCTCTCTAGCACTGAGGGCCGACAGCGCTGGTGAGAGTGGCACTTCCTGCTCAGGTGATTTGTTAGTTACTGGTCCCATTGCTGATTCTCCCATCATGTCCAAGGCAGCGCTCATCAGATTCTCCTACTTCAGGCTGTTCTTCCAGGTGTTTGGGTTAAGGTTCGAGGGGCAACACACTCATGTTACTATTGTCCTGGAATGAGAGAATTAGGCAGCAGCCTAGCAAAGGGTTGGCTGGGTTGTTTGTTTGCTCTGGCAATGTCTTCCAGGACAGGCCTTTGAGTTTGGAACTTGCTGTCCCCTTTGGTCTTATGAAGCCCCTGTCTCTTGACCTTTATGGTTCTATGAACAGGCAGAGTCCTTGCCTCTCTCTGGAATAACACCTGCATTTGCCCCACTTGCTGGGGCAGTTCTTTTATTGGCAGTTGAAGCAACAGTAACATGACATTCAGCTCAGTCTAAGTTTTGTCGCCTTAACTAGGCTGTTTGTAGAGTTTCTCTGCAGGACCTCTCTTCGGCCTGGTCTACACTATGACTTTAATTCGGATTTAGCAGCGTTAAATCGAATTAACCCTGCACCCGTCCACACAACGAAGCCATTTATTTCGAAATAAAGTGCTCTTAAAATCGATTTCTGTACTCCACCCCAACGAGCGGAGTAGCGCCAAAATCGATTTTGTCATTTCGAATTAGGGTTAGTGTGGCCGCAATTCGATGGTATTGGCCTCCGGGAGCTATCCCACAGTGCACCATTGTGACCGCTCTGGACAGCAATCTGAACTCGTATGCACTGGCCAGGTAGACAGGAAAAGCCCCGCGAACATTTGAATTTCATTTCCTGTTTGCCCAGCGTGGAGAGCACAGGTGACCACAGATAGCTCATCAGCACAGGTAACCATGCAGGCCGATAATCGAAAAAGAGCACCAGCATGGACCGTACGGGAGGTACTGGATCTGATTGCTATATGGGGAGAGGATTCAGTGCTAGCAGAACTTCATTCAAAAAGACGAAATGCCAAAACTTTTGAAAAAATCTCCAAGGGCATGATGGAGAGAGGCCACAATAGGGACTCAGATCAGTGCCGCGTGAAAGTCAAGGAGCTCAGACAAGCCTATCAAAAAACAAAGGAGGCAAACGGTCGCTCCGGGTCAGAGCCGCGGACATGCCGCTTCTACGTCGAGCTGCATGCAGTTCTAGGGGGGGCCGCCACCACTACCCCACCTCTGACCGTGGATTCTGAGGCGGGGATAATCTCATCAGCTACACCTGAGGATTCTGCGGACGGGGAAGAGGAGGAGGAGGAGGACGAGCTTGCAGAGAGCACCCAGCACTCCGTTCTCCCCAACAGCCAGGATCTTTTTCTCAGCCTGACTTAAGTACCCTCCCAACCCAGTATCCAAGACCACGACCCCATGGAAGGGACCTCAGGTGAGTTTACCTTTTAAAATATAAAACTTGTTTTAAAAGCAAGGGTTTTTAATGATTACTTTGCCCTGAGGACTTGGGATGCATTCGCAGCCAGTACAGCTACTGGAAAAGTCTGTTAACGTGTCTGGGGATGGAGCGGAAATCCTCCAGGGACATCTCCATGAAGCTCTCCTGGAGGTACTCCAAAAGCCTTGCCACAAGGTTTCTGGGCAGTGCAGCCTTATTCCGTCCTCCATGGTAGGACACTTGACCGCGCCATGCTTGCAGCAAGTAATCTGGTATCATTGCATGACAAAGCCTGGCAGCGTATGGTCCCGGTGTTTGCTGGCATTCAAGCAACATCCGTTCTTTATCTTGCTGTGTAATCCTCAGGAGTGTGATATCGCTCATGGTAACCTGGTTGAAATACGGGAATTTAATTAAGGGGACAGAGGTGGCCGTTCTTACTGGGCTGTTTGCCTGTGGCTGAAAAGAAATCCTTCCCTGCAGTTAGCCAAGCGCGGGGGGGGGATTGGCCCAGAGCTTTTCGCGTTTGGCTAGCAGGGATCTTCCCTGATACCAGCCATGCAGTGGGGGGAGGGATAAAGCGATCATCCAGAGAATTGGATTGGGGGGGGGGGGTTAGTTTGTTTTCTGCTGCTGAAGGTTAACAGGAAAACCGCAGCACTCAACGGGCTTTGCTTGGTATGTGGGAAAGGAGGGCGCAGAAGCCGAAAGACAATGGCTTACCATGGCCACATGCAAGCCGAATTCTGTTGCCCGGACCTGCGTCTGTGATCTCTAGCAGCAAAGCCACAGGCACTCAATATTAAGAGGCAAAATGCGACCTTGCACAGAAATCACATGTGCTATGTAATGTGAATAGTGTTGGTCACCGTGAAAGAGTATAAGCATTGTTCTGCAAAATGTATCTTTTTAAAAAATTCTCTCCTTTTTTCCCTCCCTCCAGCAGCTGCAAATTCTTCAAGCCTCCCTCCTCCGTCCCGAAGGCTATCACAGATAAGGCGTCGGAAAAAGAAGACGCGAGACGATATGTTTGCAGAAATCATGGAATCCACCTGCAGTGACAGAGCTCATCTGAATGAGTGGAAGGACACGGTTTCAAAGTATAGGAAAGAAGCCAGTGAACGTGAGGACAGGAGGGACCAACGTGAGGACAGGAGAGACGCTCGAGATGAGAGGTGGCGGCAGGAAGATCAGAGGAGGCAGGATGCAACGCTGGGGCTGCTGTGTGAGCAAACAGACATGCTCCGGCGTCTGGTGGAGCTTCAGGAACGGCAGCAGGATAACAGAGTGCCGCTACAGCCCCTGTATAACCCCCCTCCCCCCTCACCATGTTCCATAGCCTCCTCACCCAGACGTGTAAGAACGCGGGGGGGGGAGGCTCCGTACACCTTCCCATTCCACCCCAGTGGACAGCCCAAGCAAAAGGCTGTCATTTTTTTTAACTTTTTTTTACTGGCCTTTTCCTTCCCGCCGATCCTCCTCCCAAACCCCACCTGGGTTCCCTCCCTCTTTTTATAATGTATTAATAAAGAATAAATGATTTTTAAACGATAGTGACTTTATTTGGTTTGAAAGCAAGCTGGGGGAAGGGGGAGGGTGGGTTCCTTACAGAGAATGAGTCAATAAAGGGGGCGGGTTTTCATGAAGGAAAAACAAACATATTTCACACTGTAGCCTGGCCAGTCATGAAACTGGTTTTCAAAGCTCTGATGCACAGCGCTTCCTGGTGTGCTCTTCTAATCGCCCTGGTGTCTGGCTGCGCGTAATCAGCAGCCAGGCGATTTGCCTCAGCCTCCCACCCCGCCATAAAGGTCTCCCCCTTACTTTCACAGAGATTGTGGAGCACACAGCAAGCAGAAATAACAATGGGGAGATTGGTTTGGCTGAGGTCTGAGTGAGTCAGTAACGATCTCCAGCGACCTTTTAAACAGCCAAATGCACATTCTACCACCATTCTGCACTTGCTCAGCCTGTAGTTGAACAGCTCCTGACTCCTGTCCAGGCTGCCTGTGTATGGCTTCATGAGCCATGGCATTAAGGGGTAGGCTGGGTCCCCAAGAATAACTATTGGCATTTCAACATCCCCAACGGTTATTTTCTGGTCCGGGAAGTAAGTCCCTTGCTGCAGCCCTTTAAACAGAGTAGTGTTCCTGAAGACGCGAGCGTCATGAACCCTTCCCGGCCAGCCCACGTTGATGTTGGTGAAACGTCCCTTGTGATCCACACGTGCTTGCAGCACCATTGAAAAGTACCCCTTGCGGTTTATGTACTGGGTACCCTGGTGCTCCGGTGCCAAGATAGGGATATGAGTTCCATCTATCGCCCCACCACAGTTAGGGAATCCCATTGCAGCAAAGCCATCCACTATGACCTGCACATTTCCCAGAGTCACTACCTTTCGTAGCAGCACCTGAGTGATTGCTTTGGCTACTTGCATCACAGCAGCCCCCACAGTAGATTTGCCTACTCCAAATTGATTCCCGACTGACCGGTAGCTGTCTGGCGTTGCAAGCTTCCACAGGGCTATCGCCACTTGCTTCTCAACTGTGAGGGCTGCTCTCATCTTGGTATTCTGGCGTTTCAGGGCAGGGGACAGCAAGTCACAAAGTTCCATGAAAGTGCCCTTACGCATGCGAAAGTTCCGCAGCCACTGGGAATCATCCCACACCCGCAACACTATGCGGTCCCACCAGTCTGTGCTTGTTTCCCGGGCCCAGAATCGGCATTCCGTGGATAGAACCTGCCCCATTAACAACATGATCTCCAAAGCACCGGGGCCCGCGGTTTGAGAGAATTCTGTATCCGTGTCCATGTCCTCGTCACGCTTGTCGCTGCGCTGCCGCCGCCTCCTCGCCTCATTTTTCTGGTCCTGGCTCAGCATAAACTCCACGAGAACGTGCGAGGTGTTTACAATGTTCATGACTGCTGTCTGGAGCTGAGCGGGCTCCATGCTTGCCGTGGTATGGAGTCTGCAGTGTTCACCCAGGAAAAAAGGCGCGAAATGGTTGTCTGCGGTCCGTTACTTTCATGCAGGGAGGGAGGGAGGGAGGCTGTACCCAGAACCACCTGCGACAATGTTTTTTGTCCCATCAGGCACTGGGATCTCAACCCAGAATTCCAATGGGCGGGGGAGACTGCGGGAACTATGGGATAGCTATGGGATATCTACCCACAGTGCAATGCTCCAGAAATCGACGCTAGCCCCGGTACATGGACGCACACCGCCGAATTAATGTGCTTAGTGTGGCCGCATGCATTCGACTTTATACAATCTGTTTCCCAAATTCGAATTATATAAATTCGGATTAATCCCGTAGTGTAGACATACCCTTCCAGACCTTAGTTCACTCTTCCCTGACAGCCCTTCCAACCTTCCTTAGCCCCAGCCTGTAGTTAAAAGCCACACCTACCACACACGTGAGCAGGGATCAGTCAGCATTTCCATCACTTAACATGCAGCAGGTATCCTGCAAAGCTGGGCTTGGGAGGCAGAGTGTGCTGAATCGGTGTTTGGTTAATCCATATTCTGTGTGTGTTGCAGAGGATACGCGACCCTGGGAGCCTCTTTGCGCTGAATTGCTGGTCTCCGTTGCCACGCCACATTGTGATGGCTTTCCCGACATGGACTCTGTGGAGAGCTGTAAGCATCAGTCCATCACAAAGCAAGAACGGGGCTGGCTGGGTAGCAGTGATCAGGACCAAAGTTCTAGGCCCGCTTTAAATCAGGAGGCGATATGCTGCAGCCAAACAGCATTGCCAGGAAGCCCTGGATGCAGTGTAACAAATGCAGTGTGTACACAGCTGTACAGAATGTGCCCTCTTTTAGGGAGTAATGACTTCTGGCAGCTGTCAATAAGACACTCAACCAGGGAGTCTCCTGTTCCCTGGAACCCACAGTGCTGGGGTCCACCCCTGTGGAAAACTTCAGTGCTCTGTCTGTTATACCCTGGATCTTGAGTCCTGCCTCACTGGCAAGCAAGTGGCTCTGTGAGGCTGGTTCAGGGCCTACAATTGTCAGGAATATATAGTACTCTCTATCCCTAGATCTCCAAGCTCTCTACAAAGGAGGGCAGTATCATGATTTCCATTTTACATTTGAGGAAACCAAGGCACAGGCGGGGAAGTGACTACTGCCCAAGGTCTCCTAGCAGGTCAGTGGCAGAACCAGGAGTAGAACCCAGGTCTTCTGACCCCATCTCTAGTGCTTTATCTGCTAGGCTATGCTGCTTTTCATACAAAAGTCAAGTTTACTATTGCCCTGTTCTTTCTTGAAACATTTTCACCTGAGACTGTATAAATGGGAAGGCTAAGGAGGGGGTTGATTATATCTGGCTCCCACACATCTTCCATTATTTCAGAAGTCTCTCATCTGTTGGTGTATACCAGTTATTGTTGAAGTGACCCAAGAGTGCCAAAGGCACTAAGCTAGGCAAGCAGTGTGGATTGGACCCTGGGTGGGAGCGAGGGTTCCTGGTGAAATATTCCTCTTTAAGCTATCTAAAACTTGGCAGCGCCCGGTTCAATCCAGGTCATGGAGCTGGGGCTGTAATAACTCGCAGTGGGGTTCACCTGGCTGGGGAGGGCTGTGCTAGAGATGCTAACATCCTGTGTGGTGCTGTGTTTCAGACAAGCTGTCCACTTCGGAGGACCTTTCGCTGCTGTCTTCAGAGAGTGTCTGGGGAGCTCTCCGAGGTGAGGCTGCATTTTCCATTTGGGGTGTCTGTCCCCATTAGTGCTTTCTGCTGAGCCTTGTTGCTGCCTCTACTCCCAGACCCATTGGATGGAGCGTCTGTCTGTTCCAGTGTGTTCTAGCTTGCTTTGTTAATTGGGCTCTTCTCCTTTGAGAGGAATCCATGCCCAAAGCCTAACTCTGTCTGTCTGCTTCCCGCAGGCCTGGAGACCTTCAGCCAGCTCGTCTGGAGAGATGAGGACGGGACGGTGAGTGTGACATTTGCTGAGCTGGAGGGAGGCATTGATGCAGGGCAGGGTGATTGGTGCAAACTCTAGTGGGGATGCCCTGCCCTGCTCTGCCTCATGGGGAAAGTATTGCTTAACTGCTAAATGTGGCTGCGCTGCGGATGGACTGCAAAGAGAATTCTCTTGAGTCTTCTGCCTCAAGGGTTGGGGCTTCAGGGGGGAATTTTTAAACCGGGGATGCAAGTGGACTCCTGGAGCACCAATGAGATAGCACAAGTAGGGCTGGGGACCACATGATTTGACAGTATAAGGCTGTGAATAGTGCCCAGCCACTGGCTGGAAGGAGCCATGTCCTGGAGCTCTGTACTGATTCTTCTAGCTGGCTTCTCCAAAGTGCCATCTTCAGGCTAATGAAGGTGCTCCTGCCCAGCCCTCCTGTGCCCCAGGGAGGTGGAGATCTCTGCCTGGGGAGGCAGCTAACCCTGCTGTAGAAAGCGCTGTCCTGGTGACGTTAGGGTGTCTGTGTATTTGCTCTGGCCCTTCTCTGAGGGGCCGCTTATCTCCCACATGCCCTTTCTTGCAGTTCTACCTCAACAAGACGGACATCGTGGACTTTCCCCGCTTTGCTCACCGGGGCCTGCTGCTGGACACATCTCGCCACTACCTGCCTCTGAGAGCCATCCTAGAGACTCTGGTGTGTGCCCGGGTGCTCAAGTACATGCCCTGCCTTGCTGGCAGGCTTGCCAGCCTTTGATGTGCATTGTAGGCAGAGCAGTCTGGCTAGCTGTTCCCTTCTGCAGGGCAGCTGGGGGCTTTCTGAGGGCCTCTGGGCCTGGGCACTGCATTGGCTCTGCAGACGTGTTGGATGGTGCTACAGGGTCAGATAGTTCTTCCCAGCCAGGGCCAGCCCTTACAGCTGGGTATAGATAAAGCACCATGGCAACGCTCAAGGGCGAGGAGAGGAGCTCACTGAGTGAAGCTGCCTGATGGGTTTCAGCCACAGTGGAGAGGGGGCTGTCGGAAGGGGGTTGGGTGGGGGTGGATCTAAACCAAGGACGAATGCTCCTAATGCCTTGTACCCCTTCTGGTTTGCTGTCCTCCTTAGGCCCCTTGTGGATTCACTTCCTGGGGAACTCTCAGCTGCCTCATTTGGGCTGTTTTCATTCTCTGTGCAGATGAATTGGAGAAAGAGAGAGAGCCCCACAGACTCTTCCACTCCCCTCAAAGCTGGCCTTTTCTCTAGGCAGTAGGAACACTAGCCCACTGCACTTAGAGCAAGCCACAGTGGCTGATGTTTCTGTGCTTTTCCAGCAAGAATGGGGCCAGATGGAATCCTTACAGATAGTCCCTTGGAATTATGCTTCTGGTATCTTTTCCCCAAGTCTCCCTCACCCCCCCCGCTGGGGAGCATTGGCGTTTCCTGCCAGCCCCAGGGAGTAAAGGACTATAGACCAGTGTGACTAATGAAGGGGCCTCACCTGCCTCCACATGGGTTTTCCTTTTCTGTACAAAGGGAGTACCCCGGGGCCTTTCTGTGCTGTGCCTAGGGTATTTCCTTACTTGGCCTTATTTATAGGATCTTTGTAAATGAGGGACTCGTTCACCTCCTTGCCTAATCTCTCTCACCTCTCTCTTGATGCTGGCGTCCCTTTCATAGAACCAAATGCAAAGCAGTTCCTACAGCAGGACAAGCTCGGTTTACAGGAACAAGTGTGGGTCAGTCTTGAGATGGACTAGTGTCTCTTTAAATGATTCCCAACTTAACTGAAATAAAGGGAGGATAAGATGGATTAAAACTGTTGGGCTCGCTTCAGGAGTAACTGGGTGAAATTCCCTGGCCTGTGCTATTCAGGAGGTCAGACCAGATGATATAATGGTCCCTTCTGCCCTTCGAATCTTTGACTCTGAAAATGACAGGGAAGGAGAGAGTGATCTAGGTCTTGAAGAGACGTAAGAAGCCATGGAAAGGTCTGTGTAACTCTGTCCCTTAGCAAGGGACCCCAGACCATTAGTCTGAAATAGAATATTTCCAGCCACTCCTCAGACTGGTGTTTGGCTCTGAAAAATGGCGCTTACTGGTCTGCCACCTTTGTGCTTGGAGTCTTAGTTGCCGACCTTAGTGACAAATCCCAGGCTTTACTGTGCTTGTAGCCCTGCCAAGCCAAGGTAAACAGGCTAGTGCAGGATTCCCTTGCATTGGCAACACAGTTATGTTCCATCAGTTCCTCCTGTGCAGTTCCTGTGGCGGTTTCACAAGTGTCAAGGGCAGCCCTTGACCTGCAGAACCTCTTACCAGTGACAATGGGTAGATCCCCCGTGACTCTCAGATCCCAGAGGCTCGTGTGTGTGTGTATGAACCTGTCCTTGTGACTGGAGCTTGTTCCAAATGGAAGTCGAGAGGGAATAGCCCTGGGTGCCCTGATCCCCGCTGGGAGGCCACTTTGGCATAGAAGGGTGTGTGAAAGCAGGCTTACTGAGCTGCCAGAGTAGGGCGTGGGTGTGTTTGTCTGAACTGTTGCTCTCTTATGGCTCCCCAGGACGTCATGGCTTATAACAAGTTCAACGTATTTCACTGGCACATCGTGGATGACCCCTCCTTCCCGTATGAGAGTGCAGCCTTCCCGGAGCTCAGCCGAAAGGTAGCGCATCCCCTTCCCTGTGCGGCACCCTAAACTCTGACATGCTCTCAGAGCAAGCGCCAGGGGCCCTGTTCTCCCACCACTGATATATGAGGCCCCCATTAAAGCCAGTGGGAATCCCGTGTCCTGCAAAGGAGAAGTGGGCCCTGTATTCTTGTCCTCTCCTGATGGATATCTGTGCATGTGCTCTCTATGTAAAAAGTGGTCCTCAGCCCATATGCCACCAGGCCAAACCTCTGTGCTGCCCTCAGTACCCGATTCTGTTAGTACCCCCTCTGTTAGAGACTGCAGCATTATGCATTCTTTGGCTTTGTGTTGCAAGGAAAGATCAGGTTTGAAATAGAAGCCTGGATCACAAGTGAAATGAGTCCAGTGGTCTCAGTCCAGGCCCTGGACAATATTTGCATCACTGAATCGCAACATGCATAACTTAGCATAATTGGCAATGTTGGTGTCTGACGGATCCAGGGCTGGGATAGCAGGGTGGGGGTTAGGGCAGGATTGAGGTGCACGGGCAATGCTGTGTGGGGTCAGAGCTGGGATAGTGGGGAATGCAGGTCCAGGGCTGCGAATGGAGAGACCGTGGCCATGTGCTGCACTTTAGCTGGCATGACGGTCTCAGTTTAAGAGCCGCATTCTCTATTTCAGCGGTTTTCAAACTATGCGTCGAGACCCCAAAGTGGGTATCGACCCCATTTTAATGTGGTCATCAGGGCTGGCTTAGACTTGCTGGGGCTGAAGCCCGAGACCCACTGCCCGGGGACAAAGCGGAAACCCAATGGCTTTCGCTCTGGGCATCGGGGTTCAAATTACAGGCCCCCTGCCTGGGACTGAAGCCCTTGGGCTTTGGCTTGCCCTCCCCCCCACCCAGGGGGCAGGGCTTGAGCAGGCTCAGGATTCAGTCCCCACTCCTGGGGTCTTGTAGTAATTTTTGTTGTCAGAAGGGGGTCGCGGTGCAATGAAGTTTGAGAACCCTTGCTCTAATTTCACCCTAGAATGTAAGGAGCAATGCTGGTGACCTGTAACGAGCAAGAGCTTCCTTGCTAGCAGCCCTGGGGACAGATCTGAGTCCACCAGGAGCAGCTCCCCATTTTCCTTCATTCTTACGTGACCATGTCAGAACAGATGTAAGGAAAGAACTTATGCAGTTCCTGGAAACTTGCTGGAAACCCAGACTGGGCAGCAGCCTGGCAGGAGGAATTCCCAACCACACGCTGGCCTGCTGGGGGAGCACGTAAAGTGCGGCCAGTTACTCGGCAGGGGTTGTCTATCCAGACTCCTCCGCCCCAAGTGGGAAGGTGGTGCTGGCAGTGGCTGCTGCCCAGCTGATACTGTTGTGGGAGGGAGGCAGATCTCTGTGCGCTGCACCAAAGCTTTCCAGTCATTATAGGTCGCTTGGGCTGGGCACGGGGCCTTTCCTGTCAGCGCAGCGGGGAGCTGACTAGTGGCAATGGCTAACAGTAGAGCGGGGTGTGTCTAAATGGGCGTACGTTGGAGCAGTAGGGACCTATGCTTCCTGTGCCCTCCCAGGGGGCTTACAATCCCGCCACCCACGTGTACACGCTGAACGACGTGAAGCTGGTGATCGAGTACGCCAGGCTACGTGGGATCCGAGTCATTTCGGAGTTTGACACCCCTGGCCACACTCTCTCTTGGGGCCCAGGTAAGGAACTGGGCCTGCCTGGGGGCCCAGAGCAAAGGGTGGGTTGGGGATTCTGGGGTTGTGCCAAAAGATGGGTCTCAGTGATCTAGTTCTTAGCACTGATATCCAGCTAGATGTGTGTGCATCCCTTTGTCAGAGCCTGGGCCTGGCCAGTAACTTGCTCTTAGCTATCGTGTCTGCTTGTCTGGTGGATGTGAGGAATTCAGGGGAGGATATAACCAGGTATAGTACAGGGAGGCGCTGTTTGTGCTGTCCTCACCCGACTGTGCACCTCACTCCTGATCTACAGCATCCTTGCTATCCTAGTCGTGGGCCCCCAACGCCTCTGCCAGTACACCTCAGCTCATCTCAGCACACACCTGCTCCATGCCTGTCTCAGAACATTGCTTGCTAATCTGCTTCACAAGTATTGAATTTGTAAGGGAGGGGATGGTGTGTGTGTGTGGGCCTGTAATCCAGTCTAGGCCCAGATCTTGGCTAGTCCACACGCTTCCAGTCGGTTAGTATTGTGCTTTCCTTCGGGAGCACAATAGTCTGGAGCCATTGCCCCCTTGTGGGACCTTAATCCATGCAACTGTTACATTTCCCAGTTCATCTCCCCACGTAGGCTAAGAGCCTGGTGTGGAGGGGGTCAGGTTCTGACCCCTTCCCATCCTGCAGAGATGACTCCCTGCACCCAGCTACTCGCTCCAGCGCAGCCGCATAGTTCTCAGCCTTACTTGGCATGCTTGAGGCTGCCTGACCCGGATGAAGCACTGGACTGGGAGTCCAGAGGTCTGGGTCTATTCCCAGTCCTGCCACTGACCTGCTGGCTGACCTTAGGTACATCACTTCCCCTCTCTGTGCCACAGTCTGGCCCGTCCGGCGGGGTGATGGGACATACCCCACTTGTGTGCTGTGTTGAGATCTGTGGCTGGGACATGCTCGCTTGGTGTTGGGGGCTGTGTGCTGGGATATGTGTCACTGAATCATGAGATGGGAGAAGATGGCTCCAACCAAGCAGCTGCCTGTCCTGGGTCGAGCCTTTGCTCTCTCCTCTTCCTGACCCCCTTGTTTGCTCTGCCTGGAGTTGCCTGGCTGTCCCCTCCCGTGTTGGGGAGCAGCAGGCGGCATTGGCCAGCAAGTGACCCAGAGCTTGGTGGCACATAAACTCAACCTTACAGCATTCTTTGGTATTGACCCAGGTGCTCCGGGCTTGCTGACGCCCTGCTATGCAGGCTTGATTCCCTCCGGGGCCTACGGGCCGGTCAACCCCATCCTCAACACCACTTACCAGTTCATGACAGAGTTCTTTAGGGAGGTCAGCACCGTGTTCCCAGACTTCTACCTCCACCTTGGCGGCGACGAGGTTGACTTCACCTGCTGGTGAGTTACACTTCTTTGTAGCTGCTCGACGGGGGCCGGGATAGCAGGGAAGGTCCATGGGGTAAATGGCCTTGGACTGTCGACTCTGCTCACTAGCTAGGAAGGGTCTGGATTATAGCAGTGCTTAGAAGCCCCAAATGAGATTGGCACCTTGCTGTGCTAGGCACTGTACATAAACACAGCAAGAGACAGTCCCTGCCCCAGGGAGCTTCCAGGCTAAATAGAAAAGGGAGGCAGGGCAGTGCTATTATCCCCATTGCACAGAGAGGGGGACTGAGGCACAGAGAGGCATGAGATCACACTGTGTTGTGGCAGAGCTGGGAACACAGCCCAGGTCCCCTGAGCTGTGCCTTGGTCACAGACCATCCGTCGTCACTAGCAGTCACTCTTGGCCTAATAAAACAAATCAGCCCCCAGTCTTTGTCTAACTACACAAGGCAAGAGACTGCGCTGAGCAGCTGCCTGAGGGAAGCAGACACCACCAGCCCATCCAGAGACAGCTCTCAGGCTTGCATCAATCGGGCCATCGGGGATGATCCCTCCCACTCTGGAGAGATGGCCAGCGTGGCATAGCAACCCCGTGACTTGCTCTCCTTCCTGTCACTCTTGGCACATGTCCCCAGGGCACTGGACACTCTGCAGCGTGGCCTGTGATTTCATACTGCTCCTCTCTTTGGCGTGCAGGAGGTCGAATCCGGAAATCCAGGCCTTCATGCAGCAGATGGGGTTTGGCCAAGACTACGCCAAACTGGAGTCTTTCTACATCCAGAGGTGAGGGCCGTGACAGGGGCTTACAGAGAGCAGCAGCTGCAGCACAATAAGTTTGCCTTCCGCGGCTCACACATCCACTCCACCACTCTATTTCCTCCTGGGGAGCAGGACCCCTTGAGAATACCCACCACCACTCCAAAGCTGGTACCTGGGTATGGCCCCACCATACCTTGTCCCGCACAGGCTTGTGTGGAGAGTTTACCCCAAAGGAGTCCAGGGTTGGTGATGGCTCTGGATAGTGGGTGGGGGATGGACTGGGAGCCCTGCTTAGGACCTGCCTTGGAATGGGGAAGGGAGAGAACCAAGGTAACTTCCTGTCTTGCTGCAAGCACTTGGCCTAGGTAATGTTCCTGTCTAGACACAGGCCCTGACTTAAGTGATGGAGGCTCTGGCTGGACTCTCCTGGCTGGAGCTGTCCCTGTTTGTTCTGTACTGCTTCTCTCCTGGCTCCAGGTTGCTGGATATCATCTCTTCCTATGGCAAGGGCTACGTGGTGTGGCAGGAGGTGTTTGATAATGGTGTGAAGGTGAGAGCTGCTCTGTTTTCCCTGCTACAGGCCCCTGGCTCTCAGCAACAACCAGTGCAGTGTGTCCCAGTGTGCCTTGGGAAGGGAGGGGCCTGGCTGCGTGTTGATGGAGTGATGTCTGCTTACTGCATGGTCTCCTCCTGCCCCATCCCCTGCTGGGCTCTGTCAGGCACTGGGTTTGCTCTTGGGCCAGGGGTTGTGGGGGGCAGAGGGGGGAATTCTCCACCCTCGCCCATGGGCTTTTCCCCTCTTTTGTTGGCCATGGCTCTTCCCCTGGCTCCTTGTGGCCTGATCCCATAAGAGACAGATCTTTGATCCTGTCCCGGGCACACTCTCCCTTTGGACCCGTAGCTTCCTCCACAGCAGGTGTGCTGTTCACAACCTGCGGCTATTCGGTCACACCCTACTGTATCAGCTACTCGCTATACCGACTCCAGGCCAGCGCAGGGCGCTGGCTCACACCACGGCCACGCTGGTGGGTGGGGATGGGTGAGGAATACAACCAGGTACTGTCATTTGCTGGCATGGCATTTGAGAACTCAGAGCTGCCCTGCTGCTGCAGCCTTGCTGCTCCCCACTCAGGGAAGGCACTCCCAGCATCTCTCTCTCCAAGCCCCTTCTGCTTCTCTTTCCCCAGCTGAAGCCAGCCACTTCTGCCTGGTACCGTGAGGGGATTGTGTGGGTCAGAGAGGGTGTCAGCTAGGGGAAGAGCAGCAGGGACTCCCTGGGAGCGAGCTGTCTAGGTACTTACCCGGCCTACGTTGCCATAGTAACTGAGCACCTCACACTCTTTTCTCACTGGGAGGCTTGCACGGGCTGTAGTGTGGGGTGCTGAGGTGCAGGCAGAGCTCAGACACTTGCCCAAAGTCACATAGGAAGTCCAGAGTCTCAGTCCAGTGCCCTGACTGCTAGAGCATCCTTCCTAGTTTACCCTTTGGGCTGGGCGCATGGAGTAGGAAGGACGATGGAAGTGTCCTCCATGGGGTCAGTTTCACATGAGGGCGCAGCGTGCCTGTGCTGCATTGCTGTCAGGGTGTGGTTGTCTAGAAGAATCGTCTTGCTAACTCTTGCCATTACCAATGCAGCAGTGACCTCCCATTTCTGCTGCAGGGTCCCGGGCTGAGCTAGCAGGAGGTAAGTGTGTACAGCTCAGGGGTGTGTGTGGCTCTGGGGAGTGTGAACTGAGGGTCTTCCTTGGGTTGCACTGTTCCCATGTCCCTGCTGAAGATCCCCAGGTGGGTGGTGTGTGCCTTGCAGTGCTGTGTGCTGCAGATTGCCTCGGGGGCTGTCGGCCTGGCTCTTCTCACGTGCTAGGGGAGTGGGGCACGCTGACCCCTTGCATGGAGCATCATGTGTGTTTCTGTCATGTGTGGGCAGGTGAAGCCAGACACCATCATCCACGTGTGGCGGGAGAACGCCGGGCCGTACCAGCAGGAGGTGGCTCAAGTCACCAAGGCCGGTTACAGGGCCCTGCTGTCTGCCCCCTGGTATCTCAACCGCATCTCATATGGGCAGGACTGGCAGACAGCTTACCAGGTGGAGCCTCTGGAGTTTGAAGGTGTGTCCCTTGCGCATGTGGGCTGTGTCAGCCTCCCCTGCAGGGCCTCACACACAGCTAGCTGTCGACGGGGTGATGTGGCAATCCTGGCTGGTCAGTCAACTAACAAGCAGGCCAGTCGAGTACTTCCTACTGCTGAACCGAGTGAGCACAAGTGCCTGTGGCTTTGGCTCCAGTGACTGGCAGCTGCCCTGCCAGTCAGGGGATGGGCACTGAACAGCCTCCCTCTGGCGTGAAACAGTCAAACTGTCCTTCAGCACATGTAGCTGATGGCTGCCATCGAGGACCTCCAGGGGAAGCCTGAGTCTCTACAACTTGAGCTGATGAGCCAGGCTCTGTAGCTGGAGGCTGTAACAGACTCCTCTCTGTGGGCTGGAGACAGAGGGGACATGGCACACACTGCTCCATGGGTCACACCCCATCTTCTGATCCTTTGTCATTCGAACAAGTGTCTCTTTTGACAGGCAGCCTTGAGCAGAAGGAGCTGGTGATTGGCGGAGAGGCCTGCATGTGGGGTGAATATGTGGATGTAACTAACCTCACGCCCAGGCTCTGGTAAGAGAATCCATCAGAGGACCTGGGGATTACAGTGGATGACTCTGGATATGAGTCAGCAGTGTGCCTTTGTTGCCAAGAAGGCCAACGGCATATTGTGCTGTATTAGTAGGAGCATTGCCAGCAGATAGAGGGAAGTGATTATTCCCCTCTATTTGGAACTGGTGAGGCAACACCTGGAGTATTGTGTCCAGTTTTGGTTCCCCCACTACAGAAGGGATGTGGACAAATTGGAGAGAGTCCAGCGGAGGGCAACGAAAATTTTTAGGGGGCTGGGGTACATGACTTACGAGGCAAGGCTGAGGGAACTGGGCTTATTTAGACAGCAGAAGAAAATAGTGAGGGGGGATTTGATAGCAGCCTTCAACTACCTGAAGGGGGGTTCCAAAGAGGATGGAGCTAGGCTGTTCTCAGAAGTGGCAGATGACAGAACAAGCAGCAAAGATCTCAAGTTGCAGTGGGGGAGGTCTGGGTTGGATATTAGGAAACACTATTTCACTAGGAGGGTGGTGAAGCACTGGAATGGGTTACCTAGGGAGGTGGTGGAATCTCCATCCTTAGAGGTTTTTAAGGCCTGGCTTGACAAGGCCCTGACTGGGATTATTTAGTTGGTGTTGGTCCTGCTTTGAGCAGGGGATTGGACTAGATGACCTCCTGAGGTCTCTTCCAACCCTAATATTCTATGATTCTATGGTGGGGGGCTGGCTTGAGCCCTTCTCTTCTAACATGGGCGACTGTCCTTGGCCCGATTGCCCACTGAGTTGTGTAAATTGCAGGGAACTCCCCTCCACTGGGGCCGATAGGGTGAGATTGTGGGAAGAAGAGAATTGGGCCCCTGTGTCTCAGTGGGAGTACAGCAGGTGTCGTGGTCTCCTGATCTGTCTCCCATCAGTGGCTGGCTCACCTATAAACCTGGATTTATGGCTGTCTGCTTGGATATAGTGAAACTCCACAGAAGGGAGCAAAAGGGAAGCCCCATGTTGTGTGAGTGCGTCGCAGCATCCATAGCAGCTCAGGGTGTAGGGGACCTGTGCCTAGCACAACGCTTTATGGGAGGAAGACTGTGCAGTGCAGGATTCCCTGTTTTCAGAATGTAGATGTACTGGCAGATCTTAGCAGACAGCGGCCTTCCAGGTGGGTATGTATCCAGTGTAAATGCACAGGCCCTGGGTGGTAGGCACACATGCAACCTTTGTAGATGAGCAGCTCTGCTTCAGTGCTTTAGAGTCCCCATCTTTTGGGTGCTGAATGGTACCAGGCTTTGATCCTTGTGCCTTACAGTGAAATCTACCTCCATCTAACTGCCTTGTGCTGAACTGAATGGCCTTAATTATTTACAGTCTCCAGTTCCCCCTGGAGCAGAGTTAACTGGCTGTTACCATAGGCTGGGCCCAAAGTGATTCCTTGAGCTCTTGTTTTCCGAGGGCTTTTTTTTTTAAACACTCACTTGCTAAATTATTATAAAAATAAAAAATAATTACATTGACTTAAAATGTTGTCCCACCAGACCAGTGGCCTTGCTCTGCTCCTGTCATTCTCATGCCAAACTGGCCTGTTCCAGGCCCCCCAGCTCAGTTGGCAAAGGAGAGGGGTCAGTAGTATTCTCTGGCCCTGTGGGACTCATTACCGCCCCCAAGAGGGAGGCATTGTAAAACCTCTATGAGGTTGTCATGCTGCCGTCCTCCTTTTGTTTCCTTCCTGCCTTCTCCCCTTTATGAAGCTCTAAATGAATGAATATAACTGTTGGTCAATACCTGATTCAGGGACCCTTATACAGGATTTAGCCAACCTTCCTGACTTAAGTTCTCTATAGAAAGACTGGTCAACCTCAGCTCGACTTTCTCCTCTTCTCCACTTACACTTTACTACGCAGGGGCGGGGGCTCATGTTTTTGCTGCAAAATGTCAGTGAGCATGTAATCTTGTGTTGTCTGCTCTGCCATCCCACCCCATTCAATCTGTTTCCAGGTATGGCAGTGATAGGCATGTTGGTGCACACGAGCAGTGTGCTGTTTGTTTAGGGAACATCTGCGAGGAACCAGCAGGTGGGTTTCCTTAAGTACACTCAGTGTATTGGCTGTGGACTGGCATAACATCCTGTTCGCTAAGAGACTCCTATTTCTCTTCTTTCCCATCACCCACCTTCTAGGGTCTGTCTACACTGCAATCACAGGGTGTGATTGCCACACGTGTAGACATATCCAAGCTAGCTTTAATTTAGCTCAGGTTCCAGTAACAGCGAAGCCATGGCAGTTGTGGGAAGATTTGTACAGCCTGTGCTGAAGTTCATGCTCGCACAACTTCACTAATCTGGGCCCTGAGCTAGAGAGATTAAAGCTACTTTGGGTGTGCTGGCTTGAGCTGCAGCCACACCATTAATCCCGCAGGCAAATGACGCTCTGCTTTCCCAGTGACTTGGAAGCATGAATGGGTCAATGTTATTAATGTGCTCAGGTGCCAGTTAGATTTTAAAGCTGAAACCTAACAAACTAGATTTGTCAATTGAATAAATGTTCTAGCCAATATTGGAATGGAAAATAATTCAGACAACCCCTTTTTATTGAGTACAGGGAGCAATAGCTTACTCATTAACACTGCCTTCTTTTCAGATCTACTTTTACCTTGGGACAGTGCTTTTCTAATCAGGACACTGAGTTGTTCTTAACCAATCAACAAGTTTATTTATTCAGCCAGAACCACATAAGTATATAATGAATAGTTTATAGTCAAGTTTAGATGTCAGAAGTTCTAGTGTATGCTGAATACAACATGCTGTTTATACAATAGAATAGTACAAATAACCAATATTTCTTATGATGCTTATAATTGTCAGTTATCAATTCTTTAGTATCTGTAGTACATTTGTCATATTTCAAGTAATTCTGCAAAGAGTTAGGATGTACTTGTTTTAAGGCAATCTTAGCAGTGTGGTCCTAGTGTTTGGTACACAAAGGACTAGTTTAAAACATCAAAAGCAATTGCTTCAAGTTATTATCTGAGGTTCTCTTAGGCCAATTTTATATATCCAATAGCGGGTTCCTTGAGGTCTCACTAGAAGGGGTGGTGACTCAACAAGGGAACTTTCAGGTTTTTATTTAAAGAACAGAAAGAAATACAATCTCTGAAATGAAATCTCACCCCTCCTTTGTGCTGGGAACCCTGGAAAGGGAGAGTCTGCCCATTCCAGGGGCTGGTCAGGTGTCTGGTATAGAATCTCACTTCTGCAGCATTTTTTGGAGAGAAGGTTCAGCAAACTGAGCCCCACCCCCACGGTCAGGGCCGGCTTTAGGAAGTGCGGGGCCCGATTCGAATACCCGGCGGTGGTCCGGGTCTTCAGCGGCACTTCGGCGGCAAGTCCTTCACTCACTCCAGGTCTTCCGCGGCACTGAAGGACCCACCGCCGAAATGCCCAGAGCGAGTGAAGGACCTGCCGCCGAAGACCCGGACCGCCGCCAGGTGAGTAAAAATTAAAAAGGCGCCTAAGTTAGGCGCTCTTCTTTAGGGCGCGGGGCCCTCTTAGGTGCGGGGCCTGATTCGCGGGAATCGGCCTAAAGCCGGCCCTGCCCACGGTGACCTCAGTTTTACACCTTTTCAGGGACAGGGAGTGTTGGAGGGGGCGTGGCTCTTATTTCCAATTGGATACTGACCAAACAAACTCTCAGATTTCAGCACTCAGTTTTCCTGCTGCTTCCCTCATATCCAGTAAATGGTGTTTTTTCATCAGAGATTTTTTATCAGAGGTTTTTGTTCTTTATTTCAAGGATTGTATTTCTCTATTAATCCCTACTGTTAACTGGACTTTTCTCCCTTTAAGCAATTTCTTTTAATATTTCAAAGCTGTACCCTGTATAGGTGCTTATAGCTGTCAATGGTCTTTTTCCTCCTTGTTCTTTACAATTAATATCACTTCTAGAGTGCAACAATCATTGAGAAAGAAAATCAACAAAATCCCTTATAGTTCTGCTAAATTTAGTGGATCTAATCATCTAGTCCATTCATTCTTTGATTATATATACAGCATTTCACATCCTTGAGGGCTTACAATACAAGAGAAAATATTTTGAAGGAACAAGACTGGAGAGAGGGTATTTGATTCATAAAGCAAGCAAATGTACAGCTTCAAATTTGGGATGAAAGCTAGTTGTTTTGGATTTCTTGGAGTATTGGGAAGTGCGGCCCGTGGAACCTTTAGTTTTCTGAGTAAGCTACTATTTGAACAGTTTATTTGATTTATAGTTGCTCACTTCCCCCCCTCCCCCCCAAAAAAAGTCTCTGGCACTTAATTCACTCCTAGGATGAAACAGGCTAATGATCACTGCTGTAGGAAAGCAAGGTGTTCCTTTGGGATTTGATGGGCAAGAGAAATGGGGTGTTCATAGCAGCCAGCTAGCATCACAAGATGCTCTATACACATGCAGGTCATGAGAGGAACTTGTCTGAGTAACAAGAGCTTGCAGAGTTTGTTTCCTATTTCTTATTTCTGGGGGTCTGTGGTTTCTTAACCCCATCTGTTTTGCACTCTGGAGGTGGATGTTAATCTCTTGTTGTCTTGAGTTCCTTTAGGACAGGGGTGGGCAAACTTTTTGGCCCGAGGGCCACATCGGGGTTGCGCAACTGTATGGAGGGCCAGGTAGGGAAGGCTGTGCCTCACCAAACAGCCTGGCCCCCACCCCTATCCGCCCCCTCCTACTTCCTGCCCCCTGACTGCCCCCCTCAGAACCCCCAACCCATCCAACCCCTCCTACTCCTTGTCCCCTGACCGCCCCCACCCGGGACCCCTGCCACCTATCCAACCCCCCTTGTCCCCTGACAGCCCCCCCGGGACTCCCACCCCCTATCCAATCGCCCTCTGCTCCTCATCCCCTGACCACCCCCTCCCGGGAGCCCCCGCCCCTAACTGCCCCCCGGGATCCCACCCCCTATCCAACCCCCCCGCTCCCTGTCCCCTGACTGCCCTCCCGACCCCTATCCACATCCCTGCCCCCTGACAGGCCCCCCGGGACTCCCACTCCCAATCCTCCCTGTTCCCCATCTCCTGACCGACCCCCCAGAACCTCCACCCCATCCAACCGCCCCCTCCTCCCTGACTGCCCCCCAGAACCTCCCGCTTCCTTACCCAACCCCCCGGCTCCCCGCCTCCTTACCAGCAGCAGGAGCTCACAGCCGCGACACCCGGCCAGAGCCAGCTGCGCTCCCCACACTGCCCAGTGGGAGCGGCGGTCCAGAGCGCGGCCCCCGTGGCGGCGTGGCTGCGGGGGAGGGGGGACAGCAGGGGAGGGGCCGGGGACTAGGTTCCCCAGCCGGGAGCTGGGCAGGACGGTCCCGCGGGCCGGATGTGGCCCGCGGGCCGTAGTTTGCCCACGTCTGCTTTAGGAGAAACTAACATTTGGAACAGACAAGTTGTCATGGAGAAGGGAATAGAATGGTTGCTTTTCTCTTTTAAGGTCTTAAGGGCTAATAGTTACTAATAATATTCAAGGCATATTTGACAATCTTCTTCTCACAGCTCCCCAGCCTCCTCCATTATTGTTCCAATTTTTCCTGGCCTTGGAGAGGCTTTTGTTCAGTTAAATCATGTCTGTGCTGACCCCACGTATAGCAAAGTATAGCGACCTGGGTGTTAATAATACCTCTCCGCTCCCAGGGATTGCTACTGGAGCCTTTTGCGTTCCCCAGGAGGTTAGTCCAGCTTTTCTGCTGACATCCTTGCATTTCTGCCTCAGTAGGAAAAGTCTCATCTCACAGTTCAGCGCAGGAGTGTTTGGGAGTGCCTGCTCTTAGCAGCCCTCTGACTTCCTGTGTAGAGTAACACATCTTTGCATCTCATTTCCTCAAGGCCAAGAGCTGGGGCCATAGCTGAGAGGCTGTGGAGCAATAAGACGGTGACAGATTTGCAAGATGCGTATATACGACTGGCAGATTTCCGCTGCATGCTGCTCAGGTAATGGTAACTGGCCTAGCTCCTTTCATCCAAGACCCCAGCTAGACACAGGAAATCACTGAGTCACCTCTGGGGTGGAGCAGCAGTAAGCAGTCCCCTTGGAACTGCTAGGGAATCTAGGGAGGCAGACCGTAACTGGGAGCTGGGATTTCACCAGGGCACTGGGCTTATGCAAAGTGCCATGGCATCATTAATACCCATGAGCGGTCAGGACCTTAGTTTGCCAACTCTGGTAGATGGCACCACGCAGCAACACAGCACCCCTAGTGCCATGCTGAAGCATTGGTTCAGTGCTGATTCAATGGCAGAGCACTCCCTACAGAGTTGCCAGCACTGCTTCTTGTAGCATATGGATTTTTCTTGAGGTCCCCTTCAAGTAAAGACCAGGCTTCACCCTGCTTAGCCTGTGAAAACTGATCTTATCCCTCACTTTCCTGAGCCCTAAAATATCATCAGATACCTCAAAACTTCAGTATGCCGGGGAGAGAAGAAATTAACCCTTTACTTCAGCACATCACCCTCATCAGGGCACCAAAAGGTTAAGAGTAACTCCTTCCCCTTTAAGGACTGGAAGCCTGAATGCCTGGGTTCTGTGTAACATTCCTGTGTCTCTTCTGTTCCAGGCGAGGCATCCAGGCGCAGCCTCTCTTTACAGGATACTGTGATGCTGAATACAGTGGGCTCTGAATGGAGAGCTCAGCTGCCCCCACTCCTTCACCCTGCATGCTCTGTGTGTATCTCTGACAATAGCTGCTCCCATGTGCTACAGGGCGTCGCTGTTGCTCTTGTTCTTGCAATGAGCCGATTTAGATACTTTGCCTTTTTTCTACTGTTTGAATTTTAAATCCAATAAAGAAGGAGTCCCAAAGAGAGAAGGTGCCTCTCCAGTCTGTCCCAGTGCTAGAGCAGGCTGTGAGAGGCTCCTGGCCCATCCGCAGCAGGGTAGCTTGCTGGGCTCCAGTCAGCTATCGCACTGGGGATGCACAGGGTTTGGTGTGTGGAAGAGCCCAGGCTGGAGCCTGCCGGGTTGGCAGCTACAAACCCTCTTTACTTTGTAGTGACACATGCAGCGCCACAGTACCAGTGTGAGAGTCACTTCAGAGCGGACACCCATCACCTCCCACCAGCAGGGGAACCTGCAGACCCTGCCCTGCATGTGCTACTGCACCTGACTCCTAGTGCAGCAGAACAGCTCCACTCCCATCTACCTCCATGCCTGCCTACCTCTGGGAGCAGAGGCCTCAACTCAGGGTTTGCTCCCTGCCCTGGACATGCCTGAGCATGATGATATTGCTGGGAAGCCTGGCTCGTCCTGTGTGCCTAACTGTATAGCTTGTGACTGATCTTGAGGGCACAAGGGGTTTAGCCAGCTGGGGCAGGCAGTTGTAGTCTTAGTTGGTCAGATGAAACCTTAGGCTCTGCCTAGCTTTTACCTTGACCACTGAAGGTGTTAAAACTACAGACTACTTTCTCCATGCTAAACTGTTACTGTGTGGTAACACCCCCCACTTGTTTCCTAGTGTGGACACACCATTGGCATGTAAGATTTTCTCCGCATCAATGCACAAGCTGTTAGTGGGGGCTAGCTACCCCAGGCCATTCAGCCCAACCCATGTTTGTTCTGCTGTTTCTTTTCCCTTTGTTCCTCCTAACCACTCTGCCTATAGCCCAGTTGTGCTTTCCTCTTCATGCCACTATCTCTGCTCCTTACCCTGGATCTGCCTTCTTCTCTTGCCTGTCTCAAGAGAGTGGCCCCCCAAAGCCTCTATGAGGCAATCACTCCAGATTCCTCCCTCAGCTTCCTTCTTGCCTTCTCCTTTTTAGGAAGCTCTAAGGGAATTGCCCAACGATACTACAATCCCAGCTGGGCCCTCACTGGCCAGTCCCTTTGTTGGGTATGCAGCCTCACACAGGACTCAGTCAGTGTATCCAACCTCCCAGTGAAGTCCCTGCAGCGAGGGTTGGCTCAGATTTATCTTCTTGTCTTCATTTGAATTGATTGTACACTCCTAGAGGCAGGGACCAGCTCAGCTGTTCACTAGATGATCAGTGAGTTGAGACACTTGTCTTTGACAGCTAGGATCTCCTGGTGAAAGTCCAACTGGTATCTGGTTTTGGGTTAATTTTTCTGTACTGGACAAGATGTAGGAACTTCTGTAGGAACGCTATGCAGCTTTGCTTTAAATGAGCCACTTCTGGCTGTCACTTCTCACAACTGTTCAGATGTTATGATTGTTAAATTTTCATTAAAAATATCTGGAAGTGGCTGAGTTTGAATTTATTTTTCATCTCTAGTTCTAGAGTATATTCTTAAAGGGATGATTGGTTTCAGATTGTCTGCAGTCCTTCCTGTCCCCACTAGGGGACTGTCTTGGGAGATCTGCTGTTTATGTAGACCAGTGGTTTTCAACCTGTGGTCCATGGACCCTTGGGGGTCCGCAGTCTGTGTCTAAGATTTCCAAAGGGATCCACACCTTCATTTGAAATGTTTTAGGGGTTTGCAAATGAAAAAAGGTTGAAAATCACTGCCGAGCTAAAGCCCTCAGTACTGGCCCATATGCATGGAGGGTGCTATTAAATGGAGGTAAGGAGAGGGAGCATTTCCAGGGACCCTGCATTATAATATGAAATAGTGTTGCACGTCCCAACCTTTTCCCATAGCAGAGTGCCCCTTCCAGGCAGCAATCTGGGCAGTGCCATGACCTACAGGGTAAGACGGTTGAAACAGCCTAATCACTCTAATTTAAAGACTGGGGTAAATTAATTTACTGCCTACAATGTATGTTACTAAAAAACAAAACAAAAAAGAAACAGGAAACTGCTGTTTTCAAAGTACATTGGATTGTGCCACACAGCCTGTGCTGAATGAGGCAGACTTCCCAAATGCAGTATTTAAAATTGGTACCTTTAGTTGCAAGTGGTTTAATATGCATGACTTTTATGATAAAGATCACTGGAAAGCCGTGTTTCCTAGTGGTTAGAGCACTGGACTGGAACTCAAGACCTGGGTTCCATTCCTGGTTCTGCTTCAGGCCTGCTGGGTGACCTTGGACAAGTCACTTATCCCTCTCCATGCCTCAGTTTTCCCATCTGTAAAATGGGAATGATAAAAACGCTTTGAGGTCTATGGATGAAAAGCAGTATAGAAGAGCTAGGCAATAGTATTGCTTTTATCCATGTAGCTTTGTAACTGTTTTAAACATCATTCAACTTATTGAGAGCAATTTTCTGGAAAATCCAGATACATTTTTATCTTAAAAGGTGTTGCCAGCTCTCATGATTTCATCGTGAGACTGGCACTACTTGGTGTTTTTTCTTGAAGCCCCAGCTCCTGGAGTCCTGGGGTTATGTGAGATCTCAGCTTTCATTTTAAAAACTTCAAGCCCTCATTGGTGCGGAGATAAGCTTGAAAACATAGAATCATAGAATATCAGGGTTGGAAGGGACCTCAGGAGGTCATCTAGTCCAACCCCCTGCTCAAAGCAGGACCAGTTCTCAACTAAATCATCCCAGCCAGGGCTTTGTCAAGCCGGGCCTTAAAAACCTCCAAGGAAGGAGATTCCATCACCTCCCTAGATAGCACATTCCAGTGCTTCACCACCCTCCTAGTGAAATAGTGTTTCCTAATATCCAACCTAGACCTCCCCCACTGCAACTTGAGACCATTGCTCCTTGTTCTGTCATCTGCCACCACTGAGAACAGTCGAGCTCCATCCTCTTTGGAACCCCCCCTTCAGGTAGTTGAAAGCAGCTATCAAATCCCCCCTCATTCTTCTCTTCTGCAGACTAAACAATCCCAGTTCCCTCAGCCTCTCCTCATAAGTCATGTGCTCCAGACCCCTAATCATTTTTGTTGCCCTCCGCTGGACTCTTTCCAATTTTTCCACATCCTTCTTGTAGTGTGGGGCCCAAAACTGGACACAGTACTCCAGATGAGGCCTCACCAATGTCGAATAAAGGGGAACAATCACGTTCCTCGATCTGCTGGCAATGCCCCTACTTATACAGCGCAAAATGCCGTTAGCCTTCTTGGCAACAAGAGCACACTGTTGACTCATATCCAGCTTCTCGTCCACTGTGACCCCTAGGTCCTTTTCTGCAGAACTGCTACCTAGCCATTCAGTCCCTAGTCTGTAGCAGTGCATAGGATTCTTCCGTCCTAAGTGCAGGACTCTGCACTTGTCCTTGTTGAACCTCATCAGGTTTTTTTTGGCCCAATCCTCTAATTTGTCTAGGTCCCTCTGTATCCGATCCCTACCCTC